TGAAGTTAACTACACACAGATGTGAAATTCCACTGACTGAATTTTAGACAGTAGTAACATAACTTTTAAAAAAATAAGTGTGTCATATAGTTTTGTGGCAGATGAAAAAATTAACAATTATAGTTTTTGTGAACTATGTGCAACTCTCTAGATCCAATTCCATAAACTTCCATTTCCATTTCTTTCCCTTCAAATCTCTCAAGTCACAGATGTCTTTCATTGTCAAACTCTCTACATGCCATTTTTGATCTGAAATAGCTTCCTTTTCAAGAGGTTTTAACCTCTTTGGACATGTTGAGAACTAGAAATACTACACATTTATATAGACTATTGCCTCCTATTCGAGGAAGTTGTAGGACATCCTGAAATCCATTAAAAAGGACCTTTCCTTCTGTGATTGAGACTCCACCTGTATTGATTATAACTTATCTTAAAAAATATATATATATATATATATATATATATATATATATATATATATATATATTATTGATTTCAGAGAGGAAGGAATAGAAAGATAGAAACATCAGTGATGAGAGAGAATCATTGATCTGCTGCCTCATGAACATCCCAGCACCGGGGATGGAGTCTGCAGCCCAAGCTTGTGCCCAGACTGGGAATGAAACCATGACCTCCTGGTTCATAGATCAACACTCAACCATTGAGCCAAGCCGGCTGGGCACAACTTATCTTCTACCATTTGCAACAACATGGATGGAACTGGAGAGCATTATGCTAAAAGAAATAAGCCAGTCAGAGAAAGATACATATCACATGATCTCACTCATATGTGGGATATATTGAACAACATAAACAGATGAGCAAAAACAGATCCAGAGACAGAGAAGCATATATCACACCATCAAACCTCAGAGAGAAGGTAGGGGAAGGTGGGGGTAAGAGAGAGAGATCAACCAAAGGACTTGTATGCATACATATAAGCCCAACCAATGCACACAGATACCAGAGGGGTGAGGGCATGAATGAGTTTGAGGTGGGGTGGGGGAGGAGGGGATAAGGACATATAAATAATACCTTAACCAATAAAGAAAAATAAAATGAAGAAACCTGACCAACCCTTATCCCTCTTTATCTTGTATTTTTAATTTACCTTTTCCTACAGAACAGGCAATTCTTTACAGAATTAAAGATGACAATTCCCACCATTAAAAGAAGAGAAGACAAAGCAAAGAAGAAACAATTTCCATGGTGGGGACATTGATACCCTCAAGGCTCCATTCACTGGGAGTTGGCTCCACTCCCTACTGTGTCCATGAGAATACACACCCTGAAATGACTAACACATTCTAAATTGCCTCACACAGTAGGAGCATTTGCTTTGAACTGATTTCCCCCCCCCCCCCCCCCCTGTGATATAGCAGCTGGTTCTTTGGCTGTTCCCTGTTTCCTGAAACTTAGTCCACTCAGCTACTGTGACCTTATGTCTGAATTCCAGCCCATGGCTCTGACTTCTCCTTCTCTTTACTCTGCTCATCTCTTACACATTGTTTCCCAGAAATTCTATGTCTTCTTTCCTCTCTCTGGAGACCAGTGCTGAGTGCCACTGTCATCCCAATGGAGAGCTATTGTAATATGATGATGCCTGCAGTTTTATCTAAAACCAATTAAATCAAAACTTCTGGGGACAGACCTAGGCATCTATATATTTTTAAAGAGTTGAAAAGTGTTCCAAATACTCTCTTGATGATTTTATTCAGTGTCTTCAGCAGTAATCTCTATAACTTCAACAACCATATCTAACATCCTTAACAACCCCTATATTTATGACTCGTAAATATATATTTTCAGCCCAGAATCCTCCACTCAAAGATCTATATATCCAATCTCTTATGAAACATCTTCATAAACACCAAAATTGAACACACTATTTTTCCTTTAAACACTCTTTCTCTACCTATATTCCTTATCTGGTGCAACAATTACATCTAAGTCACTAAGTCAAAAATTTGAGTATGGTCCTGGTATCCCCTATTCTCTCATTCCCATGCCAGTCATTTATGGTTCAGTTTCCTAAATACAGCTCATTCCTTCCTTTGTTCCATCACCAATGTCATTTCTGTAGTTCATGCTTTTGCTATGATTCATGTTTACTTGTTCTTCCACAATAAGTTTCAAGTTAACATTCTTTTCCTTTAGTCATCTCATCTTTTTAATTCTCAAAATTATTTCAGCGGTACCTCCATTCTCTATAATTCAGACTTTCCTGGGGGAACATGAGGGATCCCAAGTTCTCCTGTATCTGAGACAGCTTCCTTGCTGGTTCCTGTCCTCACTCACAACAGAAGCTGATGACACTACATGTGGGTCCTGAGCACACATTATCTCAACTTAATTCCATAGACAGAATGGGCATCTCCTACATGTTCTTCAAAAAGAAGCGTGAACATCTCCTCCTCCCTGTAGCCTTTTGTCCTTCCCCATTCCAGACACAGTGCTAGCTGGGAACTCAGAAATATTTCCTGAAAGTAGCATAGTCCCTAGACCATATGGTAACTTCCACAAGTCAAGGGTCATGCCTGTGTTGTTTGGCACCCTCTAAACCGTACCTAGAAGAGTGGTTATATCTTGGTAGTTGTTGCAGGAAATATTTGTTAAATAAATGTATGAATAAAAATGACTAATATGAAATATTTCAAAAAAGCTATAGAAGTATGATTAATAGTAACAGGAGATTCTTGTTACCAAATTTGTTTTGTCCTTCCTGTCATTAGGAATGAATACAAATATGTGCATGATATAATATTAAAATCAAATGTTAGCAATGCTTTTTAATTCTAAATAATGATAAATGAGGAAGCACATTAACATGCAAGGATTTGCTTCTGAATTAATTATTTAAATGAGAAAACTAGTTAATTTTATTATTTTTAATAATTTGGAAGTTAAAATATTGTTGCTTCAAAACACAAATTACTTGAATTTAAACCTCAGTTTACTTATCTGTAAAAGAGGCACAATAAACATACCTACTTCCTAGGACTACATGCTTTAATCTATTATGTTATTTTAAAGTTCCTAGCACATCTACATAATAGATATGTAGCATTAGCTTAATAAAAAGAACTAATTTTAACCCAGAATTTCCATATTTCAGCCTCCTTTTCTATTAACCATAAGAGAAAGAAACCTTGCCAGAACTCAGTGTTCTCGGCTTACTCTTTCTCCTTCTTCTAATAGAGAGGTGCATCTCTGCTAAAAGTTCAACCGCAAGTATAACAAGAAGAGAGAAAAGATCCTGGCCTAAAAATTACAGAAATAAAAAGATTCATTTCTAATGTGAAATCAGTTAAATATAAAGACCTTTACTTTAAAAGATAAATCAAATAAATGTGTCCTTGTTTACTGATGTAAGTAAATACCAAGCATACACATATTTTTATTAAGCTCTGTGTCTCTCTGTCTGTGTCGGGTTGGGAAAGAGGTTGCAAGTTTTGGGTTATTACTTACTAACACATATTAAAACCAATCACTAGATAAAATGTTCATCTATATTTCTAAAAACTATGCTTAATATGAAGACATCTACATGGGTAATGGTAATAAAATGTTCAAAGGGAATTAAATATCTTTTTCAGCACTATTTATGTTTCCAGCTGGGGGGAAAAAATGATGAAAAAGGCATCACAACTTGGAATCCTGACTTCGGTATTAAAGTATGATAATGTTGCCTGCTGGTACAAACTAAGGCAACTGCTGTTCAGTCTAATGTTTGGAAAATGTGATTAGAGATTTATTTCTGACATTCATGTTTTTTGTGTTTCACATTAGATAAGAGAAAAACAACACATGTACAGGTTTTTGTCATATTTGCTAAACTAGTAAAATACCAGTTTCCCAAATTGTGACACATTAGATATTATTAGGCCAACTTTGCATCCATTCTATTAATTTAGAATTCCAAATAAATTAAATCAAATGCCAAATAAACTAAGTTGTTGATGTGTTTGAGATTCTCAGAATTTACTTGTTCTTAACCCATTACTACCAATTTCAATAATTAGCTTAAGTCCAGATTTTGGTTGTTTGATCAGCTGGGAGATATTCATGTGCAGGGGCTCCAAAGCCAATCTCTGTAATGTCTCTATGCATTCTGTCCACATGCTGCTCACCTTCTATGATGTAGATGCATTCTCGGTCAGGGGGGTACTTGCTGGGGTAGTTGGGAGAGGTAAAGACACCTCCCTCCGCATGTTTTGTCCAAGTTCCACACTGCACTGACTTCTGTGTTTCTGAAGTGGTTTGCTTCTCTGTAAAAACAATTTTTAAAAGAGCTGTCATTTAAATTTCTATAGAACTAAAAATAGAGAACAGGTTCTTACAATATCCATTAGTAAATTAATTTCTAAATGTTGTCTTAGTGAAAACCAATCAATCATAAACACTAACCCATGGTCATATATTCTGGAATATTAAGAATATGGGAGAGATGGGGAAAGGTACATAATTGGAGGCCTCTCCCCCACAGTTTTCCAAAGTAACATACCTGTTCCTTTTTTGGTTGCCCCAGACAAATGGAGGATGATTAAACTTGCTACAACTGAAACAGAAAAGAAAAATTAGAAAGAGATAATATCAATTTACGCCAAAATGATTGAGATCTGTAACAACACAACATAATCTAATTAATAATAAGATATCAAATCAGATTAATTTTATTTTTGTTAACTATTCCAAGTTGACTCAGACCTTGCCCACACTGCTTCAAATTGCACAAATCAGGAAAAGTTAGCAAACCCTTCGGGAAGTACATGCCAGTTAAGAATGGATGAGACCCAAACCCCTCAGGCAAATGCCTGCCCCAGCACGCAGAGGCAGTATTATTAATAACCTACCCATGTCCCATGCCAGTAGGATATCAGACATGAGGGTTTGTGCTAGGGCCCCTACAGGAAGAGAGCTTGGCAGCAGGTGAAAGGGTGAGAAGCAATCAGACCCCAGGGCTGATGCTAACACTGCTGCGGATGCTATTGTGTTTTAGAAAATAAACCCCTAGCAAATCTTATGGTGGAAAGGGGGAGGGGAACAGAGAAAAATAAATCACGGTGGATTGGAAACATATAGCAGGACTATAAAAATGTTTCTTATAAAAAGGTGCTGTACTACCAAGTTAAGCCCATTCTCAGCATTTTCTAAGCTATAAAATTCATCTCTTCTAACCACAACTTTGTTTTAATATTTAGGATTCTCCAGAGGTAGATTATTAATTTCTCAAAGGAGATTACTTATAAGCATGCTGTTGAGTCAGCTTTTCAGTCTCAAAGAGACTCTGATCTGTCACTTAACAAAAACCATCATAACCTGAACTTTCTGTTTACTTCTATCATTCTTGATTCACTCACCATTTCGACAAAACTTAAAACTAGAAATCTGTTAACTAATCCAGTCTTCATCATTCCTGAATTTTCCTCTCCTACTTTATTTTCATGTTGCTCCTCAGTTATCTAAAAGCTTTAAGTTCCTCCCTAATGTTTCCAATTAACATGAGTTTGGGAAAGGGAGGTTAAAATTCACAAGGATTTCCTAAGCCTAACTCACTACAGGAGCTTATAAATCGCACGCTTAAAGATTACTCCAAGAAGAAAAAAAAGTGTCTGGCCTTGATTTTAGCATTTGAGAATTGCATCCATTATATGACCGTAGGGTGGCTGGCTCAAAACATTAGTTGTTGTTATCATGTATGTTTAAATAGAACAAGCCTTATTTTAACTTGCCAGGGCTCTGTACACACACAAGCACCCGGGTAAACAGCCATCAATATCAGCACATATGTTTGGTGTTCTGTGTACTCTGTTTCTCCTGTGCTGATGGAATCACGTAGAAACAGGTACTATTGGTAACCTACCAGCCAACCCGGGCCTTTCAACTGTGTGGCCTGGGATTAACTCTCTAATCCTTGTTTTATAATGTGAAATTTCCAGCACACTTTTCTTAAATTGCTTTTCACTTGATGACTTTTGATGCTATTTTCCTCCCATTTCTTTCCTATCATTGCACGCAAATCACACACTCCTCAAGCCACACTAGCGGTCCCATTGGCCAGAGTTGAGGGTCCTTTGCCCTCCGCTCCAGGGCTGCGTCCTGGTGTGCTCTAAACTATGTACTGGGGGGCATGTGGGCTCCTGGGCTCCTGAAGCCCCCGAAGGAGGACTATCCCCTTCCATCCCTCAAACTGTCTGCTCCTGCGCCTTCCCTGGGGCCCACTCCCCGGCCACTGCTGCACGTGCGCATCCCAAAACTACTAGCCATCCTCACCCCCGGATGATCCTGCGCACAGAAAGGCTGCTCTCCCCGGCGGATGCTGACTGACACCCGGCCACCACTGATCGCGCTGCCCCCGCGCCCCGTGGCATTCTGCTGCAATACAGAAAGTTTCCGCCTGCCCCGGACTGGCGGGGACTGCGGGTTCTCGGGAGCAGCGGCCGCCAGGGAGGGACCCGCGCGGCCGGCGGGCGGCGGGAGCGGTACTCACTGTGAAGCACACTGCGTCCATAGATCATGTCTGTTCCTTACACCAGAGGCTCCGGGCTCCACTAATTCCATTTAGAGACGGGAAGACGTCCAGTGGCGGGGAGAGGACAGAGGATTCGAGAGATGTGAAATAGGCGAAGCCAGGGCAAAATGAAAGGGGTAGCGAAAGAGAGAGGTGGGGGTGGGGTGGGGGGCGCGCAGGACGAGATCCGAGCCCACACAGCAGCAGAAAATCCGAATCCGTGAGTCTTCCACCTCCCCGGCTCGCTTTCGCCGTCACCGCTGCGAAGAAGCCAGCATCCCCACCATGACGCTGGCATCACACCCGGGCGCCACTCGCCACCATCCGCGCCGCCGGCGGCAGCGCCCTCCTCCTTTGCATCATCGCCGCCACCGCGGCTGTCTGGAGGGCACGGGCGGTGGGCGCGGGCGGAGAGCCCGGGGGCGCCCGGAGCTGGGGACCGGGGACCGACGGCAGCGACGGTGCTGGCGGTGGTGGCGGCGGCGGCGGCGACGGCGGCGGAGGGGCTGCTCAGTCCCTGGTCTCATCCACCACGAGCAGCAGGTTGGGGCAGCCTCGCCCGCCCGGAGGACGCCCGGCAGCCCTCCTCCGTCCAGCCCTGGGGGATCTTCCGCTGAGGCATCGGAGACAGGAGGAAAGGGGCTGTCATCGGCCCGCCGGCTGCGCACCAGCTCCGCGATCTTGCGGGAGGACAGAGTGGTGGGCGTCAGGGAGGAGGGCTGGAGGGTGGCGGAGGGGCCCGGGGGTGTCAGGGGGGAGGGGAGGGGGGAAGAGGGGCGGGGAGAGGAAGGCGGGGAAGGAGCAGGAAGATGGCAGAGTTACCAAGTGGGAGCGTTAGTCAGAGCCGTGGGCTGCGCGCCCCTCCAGGCAGCCCCGGGTCGGGGTGAAACGGAGCGGCTCGGCCGGCGCCCCCCGGGCTGGTGCATGGCGGAATGGGGCGGCGGCAAGGACGGCACACCCTCAGGGATCCTGGGGGGATGAGGGGGAAGGAGGAGGGGAAAAGAGGGGGGAGGGGGAGGAGGACCAGCCTGGGATCCGCCACTCGCCACCGGGGCCAAGGGGGCCAGAAGGCAGCCAGCACGTCCCAGCTGGATCCTAGCGCCCGATAAAAGGCGAGCGAGGGGGAGGGCCTCCAGGTGGAAATCCCCTTCTCCGGGGGCTCATGTTTCACTTTTTAAGGGTCGGACGTGGCCGTCGCTCTCTCCCCCGCCCCTTCCACTCCGTTTGTCTGGAGAGAGCGGATTCGGGGTCTTTTCCAGGGTGACGGCTCCGGGGGGCACAGCCGGCGGGGAGCGCGGCCGCCTCGTTGGCAGGGAAAGTTTCCCGGTTGATCTCCGGGCTCGGTGCGGAGGTCGTCGGCACCAAACTGTGCATGCAAAGACGTGGGCTTCTCTCTACCTATCCCCACCGTCCCCAAGAACTGAAACCCCCAAGGCACACACCGATTACCTCCCACCCACCCAACAGGGGCAGGCTCATGCGCAGGGAGTTAATCTCGGAGTGTGTGTGGGGGTGGGGGGGTGGGGGGGGGTGGGGAGGGGAATAGTTGCCGGGGAGACAGCCCGGAAAAGCCCCGGCTCCTAAAATGCAAATAAAAGAACAGGAAAGAACCTTACACAGGGTGGCTGCAGAGGACCGAGTCGCGGGAGTGCGCGGACGTGCGGAGGGGAGTCCCTCCCAGCTCAGCAGCCCCCCCCTTTCCCGGCTCCCTCTCGCCTCCTGCAGCTGCGGGCTGGGCTGCCGGACCGGCGCGCACAGGCCCGTGAACCTGGTCACCCAGGGGAGCTCAGCCACACACCACGCGCCCCCGGCTCAGCTGCCGGCTCAGAGCCCAGGATGGGGATGGCGGCGATGAGGGGATGGGATAGAAAGAACTAAGGTGGGGAGCAGAGAGAGATCACCTCAAAAGCCTAGGGAGATGGGAAGGGGCCGCTAGAGGGGGCCCGGAAGGCGCTCAGAGCCAGGCCCGCCACTCAGGCACCTGCTGCTGCCTCGGCGGGGCTGGGCCGCCCGCTCCCACAGAATAGCGCGCAGATGTGCTGGGTGCTCGCAGTCGCCCAGCCCTCGCTTCCCCTCCGCGATGCTTTGGAGAGGGTTTCGAAGGATAACGAGGCGAACCCCAAGTCTAAGGGGATCCACGTGCCCCAGAAGCAACCTCCCAGGCTCCTTCTACCAAGAGTTTGATTCCTTGACTCCAGGCGTCTCCTGGCAAGTCCTTGAAGGCGCAGAAAAGTCAGCTGTGTGTGTGTGTCCTTTTAACGGCAGGTGGGTAGGTGGGCAGGCAGGATGTAGGGGAGAACTAGAGCCAGAGAACAACAGAGAGATGGAGGGACTGCACCCGCAGAGCCAACTCCAGCAGAACCCTGCGCAGGCAGAGGAGCTCCAGGCTCCAGAAAGGAGCTGCCAGTGCTGACGGATGGGGCACGCCCCGAGGAGCCTTTCAGAACACCCCCCCCCCCCCCGAGAGTGTGTCTGCACACGGATGTACTTGTAAGAGGACCAGGGGCAGAAGGTCCCTCGGATTCCTGTGACCCACGTGGAATTGTCCTGCCAGTTCAATGGGGTGGGGGGTGGGAGAGGAGGGTTGGTGGGGGGCAGAGAAGATGAGGAAGAAATGCCCCAACTGCACAGAAGCAGAAAAACCAAAGAGTAGTGGTAGTGCTAGGGGGATGACAAAGGATGCTGGTCACCAATGGGGCAGGGAGGAGGGCCTATGAAAAATGGCCAATGATGGGATATGATGGTGTCATGTTGAAATCTTTAGGATTGGTTGATAATTTTTTTCACATCCAGAGATACATTTTTATGAAAAAACGATTAAATCTTTCAATGAAACAGTGATGAGTTGAAAATTATCATCAGGGAAATTACTGCATTCCTCAAGTGCAGTTTGAAGATAGGAAGGCAATTTGGTCTTTGCTAAATCCTTTCACTCAAGTATGTCTAACCTTCTCCCTCCTCTTTGTCCAGATCGGGTTTCTCATGACACATACTTTGTTACCTGGCTTAGTAAGTGGCAGGCTTCTGAAATATTGCTAGACAAGTGGTCCTTGAATGGGGATGGGGAGTGGGTCCAGGAAACTCAGGAAGGAAATCCCAGGGAAATGATGAAGGGGCATGGGGTCCACACCCTTTGTTCATGTCCTCATTCCTCCCATAATCCAGTGGCCAGTAGGTCTGTGATTGAAATTAAACTCTCATACATATTGTGTCTTTGCTTTGTGAACCCAGTGGTGTCCTGTGTAGTGCCTGGGGCTGAGGGATTGAACATTTGCTCCAAGCTCCGGGTTGAGATTGTGAGTGTGTGGTCCTGGATCCCGTGGTCTGTGACAGAGGCACGCTCAGGTACTATGTCCCCTCACCAAGGGACCAAGACAGGTAGCTGCTGAGACTCTACATAGCTTCCCTAATCCTACCAGGCTCTGGTTGTAAATTTTACTCAAGAATTCCATTTGTTTTCCTACACAGAGACACACACATACTTTCAACCATCCACCACATCCTACTAGCTTGGCAAACTGCCTTCTTCACACTTTGGGGCTCTGAACCACTGCTTGCTGAGTAATGCTACCTCCCCAATGGGACCCACACGTTGTGTGTGTGTGTGTGTGTGTGTGTGTGTGTGTGTGTGTTTTCTTTCTTTCTGAGAAAAATTAACATATGGGAAAGTTCAGCTTCTCCAAAGGAAAGTTAAGCACACATATGGTCAAAATATCAGTATATGATATTTCTCAAGGGAGAGCATATAAACTGATAGCATTAATAAGCCCAATAGATTATCTAGAAGAGGGTGCTTTATAAGGATTCTCTAAGGCTAGCACGAAAACAGACACTACTTACATAAGTTACAGTAGAACTGACACTTCTTAAATAAAGTTAAGGGGTCATTGGTTTCCCTTAAGCTTGCACCTCATAACGATAAATGGTAAGGATTTCCAAAAACTTAAAACGAATTGGTGCAAGGGCAAGTAGTCTACACACTCATAGTTTCCGAAAGAAAATAATCCAGTTCCAGGACTCCCAGGGCTCTCTCATTAATTGGTTTGCGGCATTGGCCTCTTCTTCCAGGTTATTTCTGTGTGGCTATAAGAGGTAATGTTTTACACACACACACACACACACACACACACACATAACTGAAAGAAAATAATACTTCTGACACAATCTATACACTGAGTGGCACCAGATTATTATGATCTCTGAGTGCATAATAATCTGGCCACTTTATATATATATAAATATATATATATATATATATATATATATATATATATATATATATCTGTCTTAGCGCATGAATTTGTGCGTGGGTGGGGTCTGGCCAGGGGGAGGGGACATAGGCAGTTGGACAGCCTGCCTGCTGGTCAAACTTCTGGTCAAGAAGACAATTTGGATATTAGCCTTTTATTATATAGGATTTACACTGAGTGGTCAGATTATTATGTGTTCAGAGATTATAATAATCTGGCCACTCAGTGTATTACATTAGTTCCCTGAAAACTTCTAAATATGTTTTCATTTACATAATTTTGAGATGTAAAGTTCCGTTTTGTATTTTATGAACTGAACAATATACAAGTCATAACAGTTTATCAAACACATTTAGGGATAAATCATTTGTTGCAAATACTGGAATGATTTTAAAAATTATCTGCAATTCTGTAGCAGGCCACTGGCTTTAAGTAACATTTGGGTGGCCATTTATTTCCAGTCCACATTCTGTGAATGCATCACAATAGAGTAGAGAGTCTTCATAAAATAGAAGAGTTCAAATATTTGAAACCTTACATTCAAACCATACAGGATTGCTAATGAACATGACTACAGAAATAACACCGGGTTTTCTGAGAAGGACAAGTACGAAAATGCTATTGTATTTTTAGAGAGCCATGAGAATATTAGCCTCCTGTGGGCAAGAACTATCTTAGCATTAGTCTCTTCCACCAGGACATATAGATCCATAGTTCCTGTCTGTGCTGCTTCAGATTAAATGACATTTGTGCTTTA